TCCTTTCTTCTTTTTCATTTTATAACCCAAACTCATTGACATCACTGGATTATTTCTTCCAAAAATATTTATTTTAAGCCTTTTTGTCTCTTAGCAAGGAAGAAAGGATTTCTCCTTACCACTCCCATACACGCACTACATTCTGCCAGGCCATTTTTAATGTGGCACTGACACTCTTATCTGAGAAGAGAGATGCAAGGTTTTCTAATAAAGCTGTAGTTACCTTTTGCAGATGAGAATTACTTAGAAAGTCACTTCAAATATTGATGCTGGTCAATGCAGGGAGCCAAAACAGAAGACACTACCCACCATGAGGAGTTGCAGCCTTAAAAAAAAGCAATGTCTTTCAACTTCCAGGTGAGATATAGCTAGCCTAGAGTTAGAACCTGTACACTGCCATCTTACAAAGGACAAAACTGTTTCCATTCTCCTCACAAGGACTGCTGACCTTGGTTTCTGCAAAACTGCTACATTACTTTGCAAAAAGGTAAAGCTGCATAGTTTCTCCGTAACTGCCAGAATTGCTGGCCTTTGATCATCAGTGATGGCCAAGAGTAGGCACCCCCGAATGATTCCAACCTGGCGCCAGGTAACTCCCACCCAGACGATGTGTAAGCAAATGGTTAAGTTCTGCAAATCTCTCTCCTGGCCCTCGGAATGTCCGGAACCCATCACCCTCCTCTCCTACCCAGGAGGTGATTTACAGCCCACCGAGATATCTCGGTGGGATGAAGGTTTTCTTTCATCTCTGCTCCTTCCCCCCACTCCCAAAAGTGGTTTAGTGGGTATAAAAAGGTCTTGTCTCTCTTCTTTCGGGGCCATGGGTTGGAGAGACGTGAGTCCTCCGTGGTCGCCGGCAATAAACCCTATAATTTGGCATACTTTTGTTCTGGTGTTGACTTTCTGTGCTCAGTTGGATATAACACAGGCAACTGACTTTCTTCTGGTAATTGCATGTCCTGACATCTTGCCACTGGGTAACATTTCTTGTTTGACAGGTTTCTGCCATAAATCAGATCACAAGGTGTGGGTGAAGATTACGAAGAGAAACGATGTTACCTCATCTATGCCCTTCTAAGGGTGCATGACCAGGATAAACCACATAGCAGAGCCAAAGAATGAATTAGTTAAACATTCCTACCCACAAGAGAAATTCCTCTGTCATGTGGAGTCTAAATAATTTGCTTTTATCTGGGGGTAACATTCCTTATATAGGCACTACCCGCCTGGAGATTCTTTGCTTGATTTGGTTCACAGTCACTGGGTTTGTTTGTTGTTGTTTGTTTTTGTTTTGTTTTGTTTGAGACAGAGTCTCACTCTGTTGCCCAGGCCAGGTTGGAGGGCAGTGGTGTGATCTCAGCTCATTGCAACAACCTCCACCTCCCAGGTTCAAGGGATTCTCCTACCTCAGCCTTCCGGGTAGCTGGGATTACAGGCAGGCACCACCACACCCCACTAATTTTTGTATTTTTAGTACAGTCGGGGTTTTATCACGTTGGCCAGGCTGGTCTCAAACACCTGCCCTCAGGTGATCCTCCCACCTCAGCCTACCAAAGTGTTGGGATTACAGGCATGAGCCACCATGCCTGGCCCAAATCCACATTTTCAAAGAGTTGGGGCACCAGCTGCTGGTGGCTGAGTGGCACTTCAGGCCCAAATGGCAGGGTCGGCTTCAGCAGGGAGAGAACTTGGAACTCCAAGCAAGGGCGGTTTAGGGTCCTCCATCCTCTAGGTCTTCAACACTTGCAAGGAAAGAAGAGCCTTGCTGTTACTGCTCTGCACAATCCACTGGCTATTAGACATTTTTGTATTGAATAAGTATTATGGATTCAAAAGCACTTGGATGTGTGTGGGTGGGGGATTGGGTGGTACCCTGACATATTCAGAGGAATTCTGAGGCATCTCAGGCCATTTTCATACCAGAGTGACTTCAGTGACTGAGGGCATTTTAGGACTGAAGCCCAAAGCCACCACCCTGAAACACAGTCTTGTATAACTAGGAGCAGGGAGCTAAGTGCTCTGCACAAGGTACCCTGCTGGATGCCATGTTAGAGGGAAATATGTCCAGCTGAAACTCAAGTCAACACATTTTGTCCAAAATAAATTTTAGAAAACTTTGTTTTACATACTTGAAAGAATAAAAAGGAAAAAGAAAATCACTTCCAGATAAAATTTAGTTTTATAATTTTCTTTGCATCCAATTGGAGTCTGTGCCTTAACTAAGATATTTCTTCCAGGATCTGCCACACAGCATCCAATCCCAGCCTCTGTTTGCACCCAGTTCTGCTGGCTTCGGTGCCGGTGACACAGAACTTCATTTTTTCTCCACTCAGCTTTTCAGACTGACCGTTCTTCTGCATGATCTGCTTCTTCCCAAGCAGTCTTTTTCCAGCCCCATGTCCCCTCCACTCACCAAGTCCTAGCCATGTTCTCAGGACACTGTCTCCCCACCCCATCCTGGCCTCAGCACCTTGACACAGATCCTCTGGAAGGAGAGACTAGATACCTTGCTTTATGCTGTAAAATATGCATCTTCAGAAAGGTATACAATAAGTCATAGCAGAAAACAAATTCTCAATATCTCTATTTCTGCATGTAGAACACAAATACCCAAACAGCTATAAAAGATACTATGCAAAGTGCTGAGATCCCATAGCAAGTAAGATGCTATTGGCTGTCCTCAAAAATAAAAAAAAAAAAAGCAGTCTAGTAGCAGAAGCACACATGGAACCGTGAAGATGGAGGTGACCAGTCCTTAAGTGTGCACTTCATGAAGCTCTTACACACCAGTGTAATTGATGGGATGGGTGCGGTACTCTGAAATAGCCAGGGTGGTGTCCTGTGCCTGTGGTCCCAGTGACTCAGGAGGCTGAGGTGAGAGGATCACTTGAACCTGGGAATTTGAGGCTGCAGTGAACTATAATTGTGCCACTGCACTTCAGCCTGGGCAAGACCCTGTCTCTTAGAGAGAGAGAGAGAGAGAGAGAGAGAGAGAGAGAGAGAGAGAGAGAGAGAGAATATGCAATGAAAGGTGTGAGGGATGAGGCTGAAAGTAGGTGGGGCCTGGCTCCTGCAGGGCCCTGAAGAACCTCACTAACAAGATGGGATTTTATCCCGACAGCGATCAGCAGCCAGTACAGAGTTTGAAGCAGATGAATGGCACTATTCATAGCAGCCAAAAGGTGGGAGCAACCCGTGTCCATTGATAGGTGAATGGGTAAACAAAATGTGCTCTATATATACAATGGCATATTATTTAGCTTTAAAATCTGACACATGCTACAACCATGGATGAAGCTTGAGGACACAATGCTAAGTGAAATAAGCCAGACACAAAAGGACAAATACTGTATTATTCTACTTCTATGAAGTATCTAGAGTAGTCAAATTTACAGAAAGTAGAATGGTGGTTGCCGGGGGCTGTGAGGAGCTTTTGTTTATTGAGTATAGAGTTCAGTTTCGAAAGATGAAAAGAGTCCTGGAGACTTCTGGCACAACAATATGAATGCGTTTAACAGTATGGGAACCGATATAGTTTGTCTCTGTGTCCCCACCCAAATCTCATGTTCAATTATAATTCCCAATGTTGGGGAAGGGAGCTGCTGGGAGATGACTGGGCTATGGGAGCAGATTTCTCCCTTGTTATTCTTGTGAGAGTGAGTGAGTTCTCACAAGATCTGATGGTTTAAAAGTTTGTGGTACTTCTCCCTTTGTGCTCTCTCTCTCTCTCTCTCTCTCTCTCTCTCTCTCCTGTTGTCATGTGCAGGTGTGCTTGCTTCCCCTTCACCTCCTGTCATGATTGTAAGTTTCCTGACGCCTCCCCAGCCATGCCTTCTGTACAGCCCGTGGAACTGTGAGTCAATTAAACCTTCTCTCTTTATAAACCACCCAGTCTCAGATAGTTCTTTATTGCAATGTAAGAACCAACCAATACAGAAACCATATACTTACAAATGGTTAAGATTGTAAATTTATGTATATAATACTGCAGTTAAAAACAACAACATAATGACAACCAGACAACAACAAAAAGGCACCGTGACTGGACTATAGCACTGTACAGAGATTAGACTGGAGAAGGCAAAACTAGAGGCCGGAGACCAACTAGAAGCTGTAATGGAAGAAAGAGAGGATAATTGACTGACCTGGGCAGGTGGAAGTTGATTGATGCTGCCATTTGCAAGACAAAGTAGACAGAAGGAGCAGGGGATAGGGGACGATGGTAGATTCTGTAGCCACATATATATGTATGTGTGTGTGTATAAATATATATATATCGCCACATATATATATGTGTGTGTGTGTGTGTGTATATATATATATAGACATATTTACGTATATATATATATACATATATTTACGTGTATACATATACACACACAGACACACACACACACACTCTGTTATTTTTGCCCTCTATCAAACATTATGGGATGCTGAGATTACAGAGGGCTGGATATGTCTAAAGAATTGGCTGTAGAACCATGAAAATGTAGAAATATAGATTAAGCAAAGTAGAAGAGGTCCAAGAGGTATCTATGGATGTTTCTAATAGAGTATAAAATATACCTTAAAAATAAACATCAGAAATTTAAAAAATATAGTGTTGGGAACTAGTCTCTCACTCCTCATTTTGCAGGATGTCACTGGTTTTGTTGTTGTTGTTTGTTAGTTTTCTGAGACAGGGTCTCACTCTGTTACCCAGGCTGGAGTGCAGTGATGCAATCTCAGCTCACTGCAACCTCTGCCTCCTTAGTTCAAGCAATCCTCTTGCCTCAGCCTCCAGAGTAGCTGGGATTACAGATGTGCACCACCAGGCTAATTTTTGTATTTTTAATAGAGAAGCGGTCTTACCATGTTGGCCAGGCTGGTCTCAATCTCTTGGCTCAAGTGATCCGCCTGCCTTGGCCTCCCAAAATGTTGGGATTATAGGCGTGAGCCAGCATGCCCGGCCCGATATCACTGGTTTTAAAGCATTCTTTGTAGTCTCACTCAGAATATCAGTTCAGAAAATCTTTATTACCAATAGATACATGACTTTACAAAAGCTAATGTATAAGGACATCTTGCCCATTCTTAATAGTGCATTGATAATAAAGACACTCAACATTTATATAATGAAGTTACATTCTAGATCCTATTCATTTTCCATTTCCAATAGCCCCATTTATTAATTGCAATGATTTCCAACTTTGCTATCAAAAGTAAGTCAACTGTTACTCTGATTACAATTGGATGTTTCAAACTATCATCTTGGCTACAAATGAATGAGTTTCATGCTACAGTTGGAGATACTTTGCATATTTCAAAGAACGGAGTAGAAATATGTCTGATGGTAGAATTTATACATAAAAATCAGTACAATAGTTACCCAATTTTATTATTTTTAAGCTGCACACAATCTTCAGTAGTTTCCTGTCAAGTTAGGAACCTTATATGTTAGAGCCTGAACATATTTGCATATGACATTTAACTAAAAAGCATTAGGACAACTTTTAAATAAATGTAAAGGCATTGATAGAAAAGCGCACTGTTCTCTTTCTAAGTTGTTACCTGAAAAGGCCATAACATTATTCCTGTGATGTCACAGTTCAAAAATGTTTGAATGATTGACATTTTAAAAATTCTAATTCATATTATCCTGGATACCAATGCATCCTGGATGGGTACCTTTCCTAGTTCTGACATTTCTGGAGTTGTTACCACCTATAATCTGTGGGTTTGTTGTAGTTATAAAATTTGATATTTGGCTAGTTGAAATGTATATGCTAAAATAGCTATAAAAGATTCCGACCTTCAGACCCTGAAGAATCTATTGTTCTTTGTGATTTGTTCTTTCATTCTGTACCCTAAAAGACACTAGTGCATGAAATTTGCAGAATTGCCACAAGGTCTTCTTGGACAAAGTCACCTTTCAGAGTTGCCAAGCAAGCATCATGAGATTGGTAAAGCCAGCTCTACAGCATCTCTTGGTGGCACTAGATTACACTTTCTTAAGGAAAAAGCCAGCATTTCACCCACTGCCTGGCATGGCAGTGAGGAAGGGAAGGGCTTTGGTGAACAGGCCAGGACATGCAGTGGGCGAAATGATTCCTCCCCTTTGGTCTGTGACCCAGCCTCTACAACTTCCCAGAACTCGCCAGGGACCTTCTGACTCACAACTTGGGAAGAATTAGGAAGAACACCTGCCAAACTGAGCAGAACACCTACTTCCTGCTTACCTAGTTTTGGTGGAACATCTCATTTGTTCTTCAGTGCATGTTTGGATATACACAGGAATAGAAATCCCATAGTGAAAACAGTTTTATCACTGCAGAAAAAAGAAGCTCTAATATTCACAGAAGATAGGGGTCTTGGCTTCTTTATTTCATTTTATTATTTATTAAGACTGTTAACAAAAAATAAGCTTTTATTTTTCCTCTGAACCTAAAAACTATAAATTTACTTGGGTCACTAATAGTGCTCTCAGTCTAAAATTATGTAATAACAAAAATTATGTAATAACAAAAATAACAAAAATAATGAACAAAGCACGTTGCATGTGCCAGACACTGTTCGAAGTGCTTTTACACAGCCAGTTATTACTTTCCACAACAGCTCTATTAGGTAAGTACTATTATCTCCATTTTACAGATGAGGAAACCGAAACACAGAGAAACTAAGTTAAGTCAGATAGCTAGTGTGTGGCAGAGCCAAGGTTGAAATCTAAGAAACAGGGTCTGGAATCTGCACTCTTAACCACTGTGTCACATTGAGATGGTTACCAAACAGCAGGAAGAAAAAGTGTTCTTTTTCCGTAGGCGACAGTTCACTCATTCTTTTGGTGCAGTGATGTGCAGTTTATACCGAACTCTCCAATATAAAATGCGGGGAATTAAAATGTATACAGAGCCTGAAAACTCACTTACTTTTATGATGGCTCAAAGCAAAGAAAATGCTTTGTGGGTTCAAAAAAGTCAGATTTATGAACTCCTCTCTTTTTGTGGAAACTGGCTGGCAGTTTCTATTTACAGTATCTCTCCTCTATGATGAAAAGCATTGTGATGTAGCTATGTGAACACTTTTTCCCCTTTCCCTTAGAGAAAGGGAATTAAGTCGAAGGTGATACATATCGCTGGAGTTAGCTGAGAAAGAAATTGGGAGAAATGTGAGAATAGCCTTGTGGGCTTTGGTTTCCACAATTCTCAAATTTAACTATGAAATTAAAATTAGACATAGGGGACAGATTTTCCTAGTCATAAACAGGTCAGGCAGTGATCAAAAGAATTCAGATACTCCTCTTCCTGCTTCTTTTAAAATTCCACCTTTTGAAGGACCTAAGAAATATGACCACTACTAAACTTGCTCATATATTAAATAACGATTAGGCAGAGTTAAGAGTTGACACAGAGGAAGGCCAGGAAACATGATAAATGTGTTTAAAGGCATTAAAAAGTTTGCAGACTAAATCATATCTCTAAAGCCTGATGATTTTCCTAAAGTATGGTAACTCAGGAGAGAAAGCAAGACACCCTCTTGGTAATTCTTTGAGTTTTTCATTCTTTTCTCTCTCCACTCAGTTCTGTCCAGGTGTGGCAGTCTCAAGTAGATAGTAGAAAAAAATTCTGGCCAGGAGCAGTGGCTCAGGCCTGCAATCTCAGCATTTTGGGAGGCCAAGGTAGGCGGATTGCTTGAGCTCACAAGTTTGAGATCAGCCTGGGCAACATGCCAAACCCTGTGTCTACAGAAAATACAAAAATTAGCTGGGCATGACGGCACATAACTGTAGTCTTAATTATTTGCCGGCTGAGGTAGGAGGATCACGTGAACCTGAGAGCTTAAGGCTGCAGCAAGCCATGATTATGCCACTGCACTTCAGCCTGGGTGACAGGGGGAGACCCTGTTTCAAAAGGTAAAAAAAGAAAAGAAAAAAAAAAATTGGCCCCTGCCCAGCCTCCACCCCCAGAAAAAAGAAAAAAGAAAAAAAAATTTAACAGTAATTAAGAAAGTAAACTAAATGGTCGACACAAATGTATAAAAATATATTCATAATGTAATGTTTATTAGTCTTGCTTAGAAAACAAAATTCTTTTACTTTAAATTACTTCATTTCAATGCATGAAAAGAATGGTCCACAGTGGAACAAAAGCAGTATTTCCAATAATGTTAGTTGTCTCTAGCTCTGTATACATTTTCAGCTTTCAACACCTGTCTACCACCATAACCAACGCAGAGTTGTTTAATATGAAGTTTTGACTTAAAAGGGGAAAACTGGAGAGAAACAGACTCAAAACAAGCAAATCAATACCAAGAGCCAGAAGGTGTTCTTCTTGAAATTTATATACCATACTTACAAAAAAGAAGCTAAACCAATTGATCATTATATACACACATTTGTGAATATTAGTACCTTACATTTACATATATATGTGCATATGTAATCAAGTAAAAAGATAAATGTTAAATAATTTTTATCAGTGAAAAATACATAAAACACGACTGGTACTTCATTTTGAGTGCTTGTTCGATATTCAGTGCTTAAAAACATTTGGAAAAATAATCCCAAAATATAACCTGGTGAAAGATATTTAAAAAGTGAAAGAGATAAGGAAATACTAAGTGTTTGGTGTGATTTTAATAAGTAGGGGAAATGAGCAGAAATAAGGTCTACCCTTGGGGAGGAATTGTATAGCATAGACCGGATGAAGAATCGGAAAGGAAGAACATGGTTTTTCCCAAGGTCAATTTTGCTCAAAATGGAACAGAACCAGGGAATTTTCTTTCTTTCTTTCTTTCTTTTTTTTTTTTTTTTCTTTTGAGACGGAGTTTCGCTCTTGTTACCCAGGCTGGAGTGCAATGGTACGATCTCGGCTCACCGCAACCTCCGCCTCCTGGGTTCAGGCAATTCTCCTGCCTCAGCCTCCTAAGTAGCTGGGATTACAGGCACGCACTACTGTGCCCAGCTAATTTTTTTGTATTTTTAGTAGAGACGGGGTTTCACCATGTTGACCAGGATGGTCTCGATCTGTTGACCTCGTGATCCACCCGCCTCAGCCTCCCAAAGTGCTGGGATTACAGGCGTGAGCCAGAACCAGGGAATTTTCTATACAACGTAAAAACTGAAGTTTCCATCATGAGGCCATTCTATTTTCAGACGCACAACTGACTTCCTCCTTGAGTCTTTATTAGGAGGCAGGCCTCAGACATTCACCCTACAGTCAGATACAACGTCAGTCCTTTTCTTGGCTTCCGTCAAGAGGGTAAGAGTGCAAGGGTATCATATAATGACATTGCACAACTTTGTAGGAATCCGTCTTTACTGAAGAACCATCGGACAGTGTGCTAACTATCCTTTCAAGCATGGGCTGGCTTGCAATTCTTGGACCCTGCGATTCTTCTTTAAAGACTGAGTTCCGTTAAGAGTTGGGGCAACTCTTGGTGCGTCCTTCCCAGCGCTCTCTAGGGTCTAGGATGGGTGGCGGCGGCCCGGGCCGGCCTGCTACTTGAGGCAGGGACAGCAGAAACAGCAGATGGTCCGGCAGGGGTTCTTCTTCTTGTACTGCACGGCCTTGCGCACCTGCGCCTTGGCCTGGCCGGTGTAGTCCACCGTCTTCTGCACGTTGAGCTCGATGACGTTCAGGGTGTCGGCCTGCTTCTCCACCAGCACCGCCATCTGCAAGAAGAGCTCGTGCACGTCACGGATGCGGCTCTCCAGGCGCAGCAGCTCACGGTGGCGGCTCTCGATCTCGTTGAGGGCGGCCCGCGCGCCCTTCACATCGGCCAGCAGGTTCTCGGAGAACACGTCCCATTTGCCCTGCTCGAACATGTCCTCGATCTCGTCGCCCGAGACGTCCTTGCCCATGATCTCCAGCTGGCGCTGGATGCGGATCTTGCAGTTGTCGCGCTGCTTCATCTCGGCCTGGTTGTAGTCGTGCATGGCACGCTGGAAGGTGAGGGTGAGCGCGTTGTACTGTGCCCGCGAGATACGCGCCGCCGCCGAGTGCTGGCCGTGCTGGGCCTCGGCCGCCTCGCTCAGCTCCTTCATGGCGCGCAGCTTGCGGTGGATGACCTCGCCCCGGGCCTTGATGGCCTTGGCGATGGAGTTGGTGTCGCGCTTGATGCTGCTGAGGCGCCGCATGGACGTGAGGAATCGGGCGTTCTGCTTTCCCAGCCGCTTCACGTCGGCCACCAGCAGCTGGTTTTCATACTGGATGTCCTGGATGTCTCGGTACAGGGACTCCAGGATGTGGTCCGTCTCGAACACAATGTTCTCGTGGGGCGAGTCAAACTCATCGTCCCCGTCTGGGAACTGCTGGTCATATTGCTTGGACAAGTCCAGAAGTTCTGCTAGCCGGTCTTTCATTTTGCCTGCAAGTAGAGACATTGAAGTTAAACTCTACTGAGGGTCAAATAGTTGCCTTCAGGGGACTGAAACGGAAACATGTTACTCAGCACTCCCAATTTTTTATTCCAATAAGTGCATTAAAGGAGCTAACTGTTCTGACATTTGCTTACAAGGAAAGAAATCAGATGGCCAAACAACTTGTATTTAAAGGCCTATAGGCATCTGCAGTACTATCACAGCCTTCCAGAACTCAATCAGCAATTAAACTTTTAGATTGCGTTGGGAAACCATCCTTTTCTTGTTTTATGTTTTCCAATCATCGAAAATTAAAACAGACACAGAAAAGAAAGAAAAAGAAGAAAGACTTACAAGCATCAGTATTTTTGAATGAGAACAAACTACAAGGCTTTGGGGCCAACATCCAAATGTTGCCTATTTTGTGTCTATTTCAACATTGGTAAGCAGCCCGATGTTGTAAATTGTTGTATTTTTAGTTGATACAGGGTTTTACCATGTTGGCCAAGCTGGTCTCAAACTCCTGATCTCAGGTGATCTGCTTGCCTCAATCTCCCAAAGTTCTGGGATTACCGGCATAAGCCACTGTACCTGGTCCATATCAGCTTTTTATTAATAATTATCAGGCAATTCTGGAGAACTTACAATAATTCCTAGCTTGGGGGCAGTCTTGATGGGCAAACCACTGATAGGGAAGGAAAGGGGTAGCTACTGGCCTCTCTCCCACACTGAAAAGATGGTGGCTTTCATAAGCACTGCCTTCTGGCTCCCTGCTATGGAGACTAAATAAGAAAGTCAGCTGAAAACTCACTCTCATAAAAAAAAAAAAAAAAAAAAAAAAAAAAAAAAAAAAACTCTGAAGCCCAAAAGGAAAAAAATCAAGAATGTTCAAAATAGTTTATTCTGATCCCTTCATTTTATGATAGAAAAATATAATTGTCGCATGCATTGACCAAAGGAGAGTATGACTAAACTTGAAGACTGAGCTTCCACGCCGTGCGCGGTGGCTCACGCCTGTAATCCCAGCACTTTGGGAGGCCGAGGCGGGTGGATCACGAGGTCAAGAGATCGAGACCATCCTGGTCAACATGGTGAAACCCCGTCTCTACTAAAAATACAAAAAAATAGCTGGGCACGGTGGTGCGTGCCTGTAATCCCAGCTACTCAGGAGGCTGAGGCAGAAGAATTGCCTGAACCTAGGAGGCAGAGGTTGCGGTGAGCCGAGATCGCGCCATTGCACTCCAGCCTGGGTAACAAGAGGGAAACTCCATCTCAAAAAATAAAAATAAAAATAAATAAAATGAAGACTGAGCTTCCTATGATGAGGCACCCTCAGGTACATGAATAAATTTTCTGATAGCATTCACAGAGAACAAGGAAGGATGGCGATATTGTATTAATTAAACGCTCTGGTCATTGAGACCAAGATCCTGCTGTGAAGAGCCTACTATATCTGGTACATAGAATCTTCAAATTTTCTGTCATATCAGGAAGGAACAATTCAGAAAGCAAGTTTCTACCTACCTCAGAAGACCAAAGAATGGAGGTGATAACCACATTGTATTAAGTCTGTTTTCACACTGCTGATAAAGACATAGCTGAGATTGGGAAGAAAAAGAGTTTTAATTGGACTTGTAGTTCCATACGGCTGGGGAGGTCTCACAGTCATGGTGGGAGGTGAAAGGCACTTCTTACATGGCAGTGGCAAGAGAATATGAGGAAGAAGCAAAAGCAGAAACTCCTGATAAACCCATCAGATTTCATGAGATTTATTCACTATCACCAGAATAGCACAGGAAAGACCAAGCCCCATGATTCAATTACCTGTCCCTGGGTCCCTCCCACAACACTTGGGAATTCTGGGAGATACAATTCAAGCTGAGATTTGGTGGGAACACAGCCAAACCATATCACACATAACCAAGACACTGGATGCTACAAAGAACAACTGTGAAAGTCATTGTTCCCAACTTGCCTCTAAGGGAATAAATGAAATATATAGTATCTCTCTGATCATAAAGGAGAGTCTTCATTAGGCAGCCCAAAAAGACTAATACATACATTAGGCAAATTTTGCCAAAACCTGGAAGCACAACCTTTTCCTGTTTCACAGCAAGATGTTAAAGTATTTTTACAAGTAGTGAGAAATTTCAGACATGGGACTATGCAATACAGAGCAACTCAAGGCACATGGGAAACCTCGTGAGGCTTACTATGGAGATTAGCTTGTAGATCTACATACACACACACAAACACAGAGAGAGAGAAAGAAAGAGAGACTCTTTGCAAATGGCATTCAGTTATTTCAGAAGCAAAACAGATCCTGCCCCCAAAATATACACTACAGCACTTCTGCACAGTACTCAAGTTCTGATTTTCAGATTCTATGACATATCTCCTATGTCCTAATTTTATGCCAATTGTATAAGTATGATTAAAATGATTACTACAAATCAGAAGGTCCACTACTGGTCCTTAGGGTACCTTAATAAGCCTTTACATAGGTATTACACAGTATCTTTGTGAAAGCTGGGAAAGGGCCCCTTTCTCTGGGTAGACGCAACCCTGCCCCAGGGAATGCGACCTGGTGAGCTGAGCATGGTGGACTGACAGCTTGTCCCATCTGTGGTGAGATCATAACCTGCACAGCCCAATGGGGTCGCCCTGTGTACACCTTTCTCAACCACCTCATCCAGTCCCTCCTGCCCACACATCCCTGCCACCAGAGGCACCTGGAAATTCCACAGGTACAGTGTCATTGTAACTTAGCAGTTCCTTTCTAGCATAACCCATAGTAATGCAATGCTTAAAGACCAACAAATGCACTTTCCCTGACAGGCTGATGCAGATTCACAAATAATAATTTCACTCAACTGAGTAAAAATGGTGCTCTGCTTCTTGATTTTTAAAATGACACATCTATGAGGGTGATATGGTTTGGCTCTATGTCCTCATCCAAATCTCATCTTGAATTGTACTCGCATAATTGAATTATGGGGGTGGTTCCCCCCATACTGTTCTTGCGGTAGTGAGTAAGTCTCACGAGGTCTGATGGTTTTATCAGGGGTTTCTGCTTTTGCGTCATCTTCATTCTCTCTTTGCCTGCTGCCATCCACGTAAAATGTGACTTGCTCCTCCTTGCCTTCCACCATGATTGTGAGGCCTCCCCAGCCATGTGGAACCACAAGTCCATTACACCTCTTTCTTTTGTAAATTGCCCAGTCTTGGGTATCTTTACCAGCAGCATGAAAACAGACTAATACAGAAGGAAACATTTGAACATCTAAACATTATAGGTTAAAACTAAAAAGTTCCTAATGAATAGTTCTTATTTTCTTGCTGCTCTAAAGTTAATTAAAAAAAAAAAAGCTTGTATTGTATCTTAAAATGCATTGGGCAAGTACACACTTAACACTACCTTAGGGCTCATTCAAAGCAAAATTTGAAAGTTTGAGGAATATTAATTGAAATAGTTTGTAATTATAAAAGTCTGAGGCTAGAAGAAATAATTTTAAAATGTCTCATTTTCTCTTTGCTCTAAAGCAAAAAGCAGGTAGGAGTTATTCAAAGCATTTCTGGAGGAGACTCATTTGGCACCCTCTGACATAATTCACTTTTCAGTTTCCTCAATCAGAATTTTCTGCCACTGTGTGAACAGATATGCACAGCTGATAAACAATCAGTGGGAAGTTGGGATTCCACTTTCAGCAATATGCTTTTTTTATTTTTATTTTTTTGAGACGGAGTTTCACTCTTGTTACCCAGGCTGGAGTACAATGGAGCGAACTCGGCTCACTGCAACCTCTGCCTCCTGGGTTCAAGCAAATCTCCTGCCTCAGCCTCCTGAGTAGCTGGGATTTACAGGCACACACCACCATGCCCAGCTAATTTTTTGTATTTTTAGTAGAGACGGGGTTTCACCGTGTTGACCAGGATGGTCTCGATCTCTTGACCTCGTGATCCACCTGCCTCGGCCTCCCAAAGTGCTGGGATTACAGGCTTGAGTCACCGCGCCTGGCCCTCAGCAATATGCTTTTGGATGCTTTCTGAAGAAATGCACTGGAAATTAAAGCAGCTACTCCCGTGTAGGTTTCATACATTCTGCTATACAGCAAACATGTATGAAGCATTTGTAAAATGCCAAATGCAGTATTCAGCAATGTGCAGGTATTAACTCATTTATCCTTTCTTAGGTATTATCATCATCCCCAGTCTACAGGTTTGAGGTCTAATGAGTTTAAGCAGTTTGCTTAAAGTCACACAGTTATGGAGTTGACATATAAATCCCAAAAGCGTGACTTGCGAGTCCATCTGTAATCCACAAAGCTACACTAGCTTCTTTTTCCTAAACTCCCCACAAGAAGGTTGCTTTTAAAATCTTTAATCTATTCCCTAACTGCGTTTTTCTATTAGGAACAATTATTAGCATCCAATTACTCAGATCTGGATTAATACATGGAAATATTGTCACCATTAGAATCACTACTTTCTTTCCCACGCAAATTTCTTCATATCAGAATTTCCCCAACATTGCAACACGTCAGTTGTACAGCCCTAAAAATAGGGAGTAAGTCACCACAACTTCCCAAAAATCCAGAAAATCATTAACACTCTGAAATAATAGAGCACAGATACTTGGAGATGTAAATTTTACAGTCAGGTGCATAGAAGCTGCAACAGGAATGGACAGGAGATGAGCTTTCTAAGAGAGAAAGTCAAGACAGCAGCACACAAGGGTCAAGGGTCAAGGCTCAAGTCATCTGTGCAAGTTTTTCCACTTGCATCTCTACCAGTAGTTACAAACTAAAACAGTTGCTGTAATCTTCAGTCTGATTTCTCTTTGACCCTGGAATGTGAAGCAAAATTTTGCCTCGAAAATACAGGCAAAATCTATGTTTAAAAAAATGATAGGGAATAGATTTTGAATCCAGTAGGAAACCATATATGCCTTTAAGTAATTCTTTTATATTTTGTAACTATTTCATGAAGTGTCTTTTAAAAGGAGAAA